TAAAAATAAAAAAAATGAAGAAATTCTTTATGAAGAGGGGTTATTCCGGCTAAATCCCACATTAAAAGTATTGAGAGTTTTAAAAATTATATTAATATAAAATTTTGTTTATAAACATAATTGGTTCAATATTTTCAAAATGGTGGCTCTTCCGGTTACACCTGTTTTTTCAATAATGAAAACACCAAAAACAATAATATAAAAAATTAAAAATTGTAGAGTTATCGATTTTTGGAGAGGAAATTGCAAATCCAAATAATGTCAAAAAAGTCTAAATATTTCGAGAACGAAAGAGTATAACTCTCTCAAATCACTTGAGTAATCTGAAAAAGCACTAAAAAGGTAGCCTTCTATTTGAAATAACGAATTACTACCCATTTCCGAAGTAACAGAAAGTGCCGCCAACTTGAGCAGGACCTAACCAATTATATCTATATGCAAAATTTTAGTAAAAATATCGTTGTTTCCTGTATAAACTGTACAACTCCATTTTTTTTATACAGGGTGAGTCATGGATGTTGCGTCAGTGAATACTTTCTCCATTACCTACTGAGACTAAGAATGTAACTTTATAATTTATTGAATTATTTTTAAATATTTGTAAAGTTCTATTCTATTTATAGACTGTTTTCAACTTTTTTTCGAAATACAACTTATATTTTTTCTACAGTTTTATTTATAAAGTGCAATTTTGCTTTCAATTTTCGGTTACAACATTGCCAAGATATTGAAATTTTTTGCAAAAGTATGAAGATACCTCCAGCATGTTTATTATTAACAATAGAAACATACAACTTTGCACATTGATAAAGACGACTTTTTTTATTTGATGTAATTTTTATTTGTTTTTCTATACAGGAATTTACTAATAAAATATGCAATTTTCAAACAAACATGTAACATAATATAACTTTGGTTTCTAAAATGTAACACACTACAGGCTGACTCTACTAAAAAAATATTTCAATTTTATATCAAAAACTAATACCTAACACACAAAAAACAGTTTTTTTAACTCTGTTTTTTTATCTGTTCATGTGAATTTTTTCAGATTCTTTCAGACACATTTCATTTTTTGCGGCATTGCCATGTCAAACATTTCTATTCTTTTGCAATTTTTTCGCGTACTTTTTTAAATTTAAAAACTGCTATTTAAGAATTCATAAAAATAATAAATTTTTCAAGGGACCGTTTGTAAAAATTACTTAGTGTTGAAGTTTAGAATTACATGAAAAATAACACGAATTATTATTTTTCTTGAGCAAATTAACATAAATTAATTAATATTTACGAGTTTTATAAGAAACGGAAAAAAATCAGAAAAAACCCACATGCACACAGAAAAATACAACGTTCTTTATGACAAACGCTAATCTTTGTGTGATTACTAGTTGAAATAGACGCACATTTAGTAAATTCAGCTTTTATATTTTTTATCCCATTTTATTAATAATTTTCTTTTTGGGTGTAATCTTGTAAGATCCGAATTAGGTACTGAAAATATTTAATGATGATTGAAAATTGATTTTCAGATTAATCAAAACTCATTTCTTTCTCAAAACACCAAGCGTTTATTTTCAACACGATACGTGTTTCGATCAAGGTGAACAATATGAAATGCAAGAAACGAATATTAATTCATTAACACCAAAAAAATTCAATAAAAAATGGCCCAAACACTTGAAAATTTAACCAGAAAAGCTTTTAAACGTTTTCTTCGGACTATTTTTATAACAAGGAAAAAGTTTTATTCAACGATAATAATCATTACTTTGTGAATGAAAAAAAATATAGCCTGTTGTTTATAGTTTATAGCCTTGTTGTATAATAAATATATTAAAATACACTTTATCGCTTTTGTAACGTACTGCGATGATTTTTATTTATTTTTCGACGGCGAAATAATCAAAATACCACTTAGCTTGCAGCATTGTGATGCTAAAAATGAACAAAAACGTGCATTTCCATGTAATTACCATTCCCTGTTGATAACACTCGTGCACTTGTACATTTTAAAATGCAAATAGCGAGTTAAAAGCTAAAGATAAGCCGACACGATCCTAGTATTTAAAAGCAAACCGAGCCATCATTCAATAAATCGGTGTTAACAGCAGTCAAAATATTTGCGGTGTAAATGATCTCAAAGTAATAAATCGGAGTTTTCCAGGTACCGGAACGAATCCGGGCGATGAACGCCAGCGTAAAGCTTTTGCTAATAGTCCGTGAGCCCGTGACCAGAGCTATATCGGATTACACCCAACTCCGAGCCAACGCAGCGACAGCCCCCCCAACGATAGCCACCCCGCCCCCCAAATCCTTCGAGAGCCTATCGCTCTTCCCCAACGGCTCCATCAACGAGGCGTATAGACCCCTGGCCATCTCCGTTTACCATAACTACTTACACAGGTGGCTGGAGGTTTTCCCTCGAGAGCAAATACTCGTAGTGAACGGAGATCTCCTCATCGAGGATCCCGTGCCCCAAATCCAGAAGATTGAGCGCTTTCTGGGACTGGAACCGAGAATAGGCACACATAATTTTTACTTCAATGAGACCAAGGGCTTTTACTGTCTGAGGAACGAGACGTCGGACAGGTGTTTGAGGGAAACCAAGGGCCGGAAGCATCCGAGAGTCGACCCTAATGTCGTCGCCAAGTTGAGGAGGTACTTCGGAGAGCACAATCAAAAGTTCTACGAGCTTATTGGAGAGGATCTCGGCTGGCCCGAAGAATAATTCGGTTCATTTCGATGTAAATAATCATTTAAGACCCGGGTCGGAGGTTCTTACGATTTTGTAAATACTAGGTGCTCCATAGAGTAGGGAGCGACTCCATGCCGAAATCGACAAATTTTATTTTTACTTTTACAAAGAATTTTGAAGAAAATAATAAAACAAAATAAAATCACAAACAAATCGAAACTTTTTTCTAATAATGGCATAAAAGTATGTTCATCAGACGTGGTAAAATATTTGCTTAAAAATTGTCGTTAACAAATAAATGTTTAAATTGAAAGATAAGAATTTTACATGTTTTTAAATCTTAAAATTTCAGGACGAAAATAGCTTTCAGGTTAAAGAATGTCACAAATTACAAAACAAAGTTATTAGTTTTAAATAATTTATAAAATTAGTGTTACTTTAAGCTGTATTTATTTTAGTTAAGTCCATAATAAATATATTTTCTTTACGTGGTCTTGAGATAAAAATGTTAAATATTACATCAAAAATAACAACACAAACTTATATTTTTTAAATAAAACAAACAATTGCTTTTTGGAACAAAAAATTGAATAAAAACAAAAGTTGAAACAAAAATTTTAGCAAAACAATTATAAATTAGAACAAAGAAATTCGGCAAAAAATTGTTAGTCGGAATAACAAATTCATAAAAAAATTACTAGTATTTCTGGTGGAGAAAAAAAAGTGAAACAAGAAAATCAGCAAAAAATTATTCTTTAGAACAAAATATTGAACAAAAATCCCTAGTTGGATTAACAAAATAAGTAAAAATTCTCCACTGGTCAAAAAAATCGAACCATGAAATAAAAAATTTGACAAAACATTCAGATTTTTTCTTTACGTGATCTTGAGAAATGTTGAAATTATTACATCAAAAATAATAACACAAGCTTATATTTTTTGAATAAAACACTACGTTTTTTGTCTTTTTGGACATTGCTGTTAATGTTAAAACTAAACTTTTATTGATCAATTTCATCTGTTTTTTTGACAAAAATTGGTATACTTTTTCATTACACAAAACTAAGAATAATTTTTACAAATTACAATCTTTAGATCAACATTTTTTAACGTATTTTGGTTAAAAAGAAAAAAAAAAAGAAAAAATTAAATTATTTGTTACAAAACTAAAATAAATTAATATCTGAAATTAAGCAAAAAGTTTTCTTAAGGGCAAAAATTAAGTAAAAGATCGGTAGTCAGAATAACAAATTCACCAAAAATTTAGCAGTAGTTACAAAAATCGATCGTTAGAACAAGTAATTGAGCCAAAAATCACTAGATGAATAAAAAATTAAACAAAAATATCTAATAAACAACAAATTAACCAAAAAAATTGCTATTCGTGACAAAAATTAAACAAAAAATCGCTTATTAGATTAACAAAATGACTGAAAATTCTGCAATGATCCCAAAAATCTAATACTGAAACACAAAATTTAGTAAACAATCAGTAGTTCCACAAACATTTACAAAACAAAAAGCTTTACAACTTGGGCTTTAGATTTATATTTTCTTAGCGTACTTTAGGTGACAGCGAAAAAAATTAAAAAAATGGTAAATTATTTGAAAAATTAAAAAAAAACTCTGGACTTTTTGTTTTTGCATCTGTTACCATAGATTATTATTAAATTTTCTTTCTGAAAACATACACTTTTAAATTTGAGGAACAAATAAATTTATTTGTTACAAAACTGAAATTAAGCAAAAAGTCTCCTTAAGAACAAAAAATTGAGTAGCACAATCGCTAGTTAGAGTAACAAATTTACCAAAAATTTGGTAACAGTTACATAAATTGATCGTTAGAATAAGAAATTGAGCACTAGCTAAATAAAAAATTAAAGTAAAAATAACAAAAAACGTGACAAACTTGCTCTTTGTGACAAAAAATTTCAAAAATCCTTTGTTGCGATAACAAAATGATTGAAAATCATTCAGTGATCACAAAACTCGAACATTGAAAGAAACCTAATTCCAAAAATATTACAAAAAATAAAATAAAGTTTTTACGTGAAAAAAATATACAGATTCACATTTTTTATAGTATTTTATTTGGAAAGCTAAAAGATTTTAAAAAAACCCTAAGCAATTTGAAAAATTTAATACAACCCGCTCCTGTTTATTAATTTTTTTTTCAGAAAATATAACATTCAAATTTATGAACAAATAAAATTATTTAATTAAAATTTATTTGAAATTAATATTTGATTTCCATTTGCTATTATTTTCTGTTATATTTTACAAATAAAAATGCCATTTGGTTAAAAAAATAAGGTAATTTTCAACCGACTATCCTGAAATTTTAAGATATTCTAGGAAAGACACTCATAGTTTTATAATAAAATTAGAAAAAATAAAAATAAGTGTGATTGCTTTTCTTTAATTAAACAAACATTCTACCACTTTCGCAATGAACATTTTTTGCTATTATGTATGTATTAAAAGACATTTCAATAAGATATAATTTGTGAACATTTTCTTCAAAATAATAGAAAATGTAAGGGAGTTTCGGGTTTTGGCATGGGGTTGCTTTAGTGCGAGGGTTTTTCGATAGGAAGCCTAAGATGCTTACTTCCACCATAGCGAAAATGAAAAATTTCTTTCTTAATAAGCACAATTGATGAAAGCAAAGTTAGCGGGATAAAAAGGCGGCCTTAATGCGTATTGAATTATAAATCATCCGGCACAAGATGGAGCTTTTCTCCGCGTTAAAGTTTGTTAGGAAGAGGCTGATAGTGTTTAAAAGTAGTCGACTTCCTGCTGTCTACAAGAGTTAGGTAACTTATTGCAAACATTCTCGCTCTATACTCGAATTTACAATGGCCGAGGAGAGCACAAAGTGTGCACAATTATTGCTCAATTCATAGTTCAAGACAAAGGAAACGGAACATATCACAAAATACATATCATAATTTATAGAAAATTGATTATTTTTTCGAAGGGCAAATGCTTATTGTGGACCCGGTTTTTGAGTTGGATCATATTGATCAGTGCCTTATTTACTTTTACAATTTCGTAGTCCACATTGGAACTTGTTAAAAACTGGTGTTTTCCCACATTTACACTAACGGGAGAGATTTTAAACCCTAGGAAAATTCTTGTTTAACATTATTGCACATTTGCCATGTCACAAACATGTTGACAGTTAGACTCGTGAGTGTAAATGAGAAAATACCAACACAAATTTCGTTTCGTTCAAAACTGTTTATTGCAAGCTTCACCCCAAAACTATTCAGTCTTGAAAATTACGTTGTATTCTCATATTTAACTTGTTCGCAAGGAGTTATGTATTATCTTTTTTAATTAAATATAGAAAGACGTTGATTAACCGAAACGGCTGTTGGAACCAACACTGCTGAAATTGCATAATAGACGCGCCTCGCATGTAAACACGAACATTGGTTCTAATGTATTTAAAGCAAAATTGCTTTTTTGGAACCAAAAATTGAACAAAAAAGAATTAGCTTAAACAAAAATTTCAGTAAAAAATTGATAATTAAGATACAAAAATTCAGCAAAAAATTGTTAGTCGGAATAACAAATTCGTCAAAAATTTGATAGTAGTGACAAAAATTGATTGCTGAAAAAAATTTCAGCTGGAGACAAAAAAATTAAAAAACATTCTCGTTGAAACAAGAAAATCAGGAAAAAAATATTCTTTGGAACAAAAAATCCCTAGTTGCATTAACAAAATAAGTGAAAAGTCCCCATTGGTAAAAAAATTCGGACCATGAGACAGAAAATTTAACAAAACATTCAGCAAAAAAATTCAGGTAGACAAAAAAATTGAAAACAAAATTTCGGTCGTAAAAAAAATTCAGATAAAATTGTTCTTCGTAACAAAAAACTGGATAAAAAATCGCTTGTTGGAATAACAAACTGAATGAAAATTTTCTACTAATCACAAAATCGAAAAAAAATTAAACAAAAAATTTCCTTATCTCCAAAAAATTGTGTAAAATATCTCCCGTGGGAGTAAAAACCTCAGCAAAAAATCGCTAGATGAAATAACAAATTTACCAAAAATTTGTAAATAGTAACAAAAATCTATCGTTGGAACAAGACATTGAGTAAAAACTTTCTGGTAGAAACAAAAAAATGGAAAAAAAAACTTTGGTTGCAAAACTTGTTCTTCGAAACAAAAAATTAGGCAACAAATCGTTAAAATTCTCCACTGGTCACAAAAATCGAACAAAAAATTTAGCAACAACTTGCGATAGAAACAAAAAAATGAGTAAAAAACAGCAAAAAGCGTCACAAAATGTCGATTGCTGGAATAACTCATAGAAAAAAATTTGCCACTCACAAAAATCGATCGTTAGAAGATAAAAATGTGCAAAAAATCCCTCGTTGAGTCAAGAAAATCAGCAAAAAATAATTTTTTGGAACAAATTATTGAACAAAAAATCCCTAGTTGGATTAACAAAATAAGTGAAAATTCTCCACTGGTCTTTATTTAAACGAACCATGAAACAAAAAAATTAACAAAACATTAAGCAAAAAATTGGATAAAAAATAGCTTGTTGAAATAATAAATTGAAAGAACATTTTCCACTAATACAAAATCAAAAAAAAATAAACAAAAAACTTCTTTATATACAAAAAAATTGAGTAAAATATCTCTCGTTGGAATAAAAACCTCAGCAAAAAATCGCTAGTCGAAATAACAAATTTGCGAATAGTGACAAAAATCGATCGTTGGAACAAGAGTAAAAAATTTCTCGTAGAAACAAAAAAAATTGAAAAATACTCTGGTTGCAAAAAACTGTCTTTCAAAACAAAAAAATGAGTGAAAATTTTCCACTGGTCACAAACATCAAACAAAAAATTGAACGAAAAATTTCTTTAAAGACAAAAAATTGAGTAAAAAAATCGCTAGTCAATAACAATTATAATAACAAATTTGCCAAAAATTTGTCAGTAGTTGAATCGATCGTTAGAAAAAGAAATTGTGCAAAAACTTGTGATAGAAACAAAAAATTGAGTAAAAAAACAGCAAAAATCTATTCTTAACCGAAAGTCGCGTGATGGAATAATTACTTGAGTGAAAATTTGCCACTGACAAAAATCATTCGTTAGAAAAAAAATCTCTTCGTTGTAAAGAAAAATAGCAAATCGGAACAAAAAATTGATCAAAAAAATCACTCTTCAAAGAAGGAAAATCAATAAAAGTGCGCTAGTGGTAAGAATTTCTTGTTAGAACACAAAATTCAGCAAAAATGCAAGTCGGAAAAATTTTTTAAAAATGTTAATGGGAAACCAGTTTTACCAAAGTTTGCCAGTGAGTAGGCAAATCAATTTTTGCAACACAAAAATTGGTTGGAACAAAAAATTAGAAACAACCAAAATGTTTGCGTTTCATTATTTCTAACTGTTAATAAATACAAAATGTCAATGTTCTTTGAACCAAAGTGCGAATCAATTAATTTCGCATAAATTTGTGTCACAATTGGGATGTAGACATCAAAATTCAATTGTTACTTCACCTTCAAACCCTCATAGTTTACAATTATGATTAATTGCACCCCACAGGGAATCCCAATTTTAGGTACAGTGACAAAGCATTACACATTTTAAAAATAAATTAATTTCACACGTATATCCACTTCAACTGTTGATGAATTTGGGCTAAATCGCATCTGGGGAATTTTTTGATTTTATTGTTGGTTCGACTGAAGAGTTCGGTTCGTCAATGCCCGCACATAATTTCTGCATATGCCATAATCTTAGGGTACAAACATTAGCTTAAACTTAAGTGAAATGCAAGGAGGCTGCTAAATACATATCAAATATATAAATTACACACATATCAAAAATGTGATGAAGATTGATCGATTTTATGTATATATTATACAACGTTATTTTGAGAAAAGAAGCACTAGTTAATGTAGCTAAACCCATTGATTTATTGATACATTTTTGATGTAAATTATTTGTAGTTGTAGTCTTGTAATTTTTGATTGCTTTTGAAAAAATCCCTGTCATTACGTCCTTGTAATGTTTTCATATCTGTCGATCTAACTCGTAATATCCTATATCTAATACTCTAGTCTGTCACTTTTTAAATGTTGTAGTGTTGTAGTACGAGATTATTTTCCAAAAGGTGTTTAAATAATGTATAGAACTTCATGCGGGTAGTTTTTACAGTTCCGTTACTGAAAGGCTAACGGCCTGTTGATTCACTAAGATAAACAGTATTTATAAATTTTATGAAGATGTTGACTCTTTAAATTAATATAAAATTGTATACAAATTCTTCGAAGACTGTTGAGATGGACGGGAGGTTTCAGCGACATCTTCATGAAACAAATAGTCTATGCTTTAACTAGAACATTGTTAATTTCTTTAAATTTTTAAATGTACTAGGTGAAACACTGTTAAATATACGCACTAACAATGGGGTATAAGTAAAATAACTAAATTTGTTTTGTTACGATTGAGATTTTAGCTAACGAAATTTTATATGTGAACAATCGCATACATATTTGAATCGATTCCTTAGTTTTAAGTCATCAAACGCAATAATAATTTATACCACCGTTCAAAAATGTATGTGAGTCAATTTTTAAATTATTTCTACCTAAAATCCATGTATTTGTGGGTAAATAAATGTGATGAGAGCAGTTTCGTCCTTTATTACTATGTTTCAAATAAAAATACTACAATAAAAATTCTCATAATAAATAATAAAGTACATTGCAAATTTCCTACAATTACTGTTAGATCGGTAAAATAAATATTAGAGGTACGTCTTATCCAATACAAACTTACACAAATAGGTACAATATTCTCTTACTTCCCACCAATTAAGATAAATATGGAGCATTTACGCACGTGGTAGCTTAATTTCAAAACGTGGCAAGTAACATAACCATGGGCGCCGACTACATGGGTGCAAATTTGGAATATAAGAATATTTGAAATTTCGTATTTATTCTAAGCCGCTTTTTGTAATGTTGCATTTTTTCAAATCACTTTTAATGTCAAAATAGGTTAAATTTTCTATTTTGCTATTTTCCCTGTCAAGAAAATGGATCAAATTCATCGTTTGTGTTATTCTATTTTGTTTTTTCATTGAAATTCCATTAAAATTAATTCAAAATTAAGCTTTTTAGTGAAAAAATATTTCTTATTAGCCCAATCTGAAGAAAACTTCAAAACGACAAAACATTTTACTATTTCAAAAAATTTAGAGAACAAAAAAAATTGGAATATAAAAATATTTGGAATTTCGTATTTCTTCTAATCTTTTTTTAGTAACGTTGCATTTTTTAAAATCACTTTTAATGTCAAAGATGTCTTAAATTTTCTATTTTTCCATTTTCCCTTTCAAGAAAAGGGATCCAATTCATCGTTTATGTCATTCTATTTTATTTCGTAAAAAAGATTTCTTATAATCTCAAAAACTTCAAAATGACAAATACTATTCCAAAAAATTTAGAGAGCAAAAAAATTTCTTAAATTTGATGTTTTTTGAAATATTGTACCTCGATAAAAAATGGTCGTATTTAGATTAAAAGCTTCAAGTTTCTAGTCTTGAAATCTTATAAAAAAAATTTTTTTGAGCTACGGTTATTACGTAATCCTAAGAAATAGCGCCCGAAATACATCGTATTTTTTTATTCTTTTTTTTTGGTCCACGGACTTGGAAAATTTTTTATTAATTAAATATACATGAGCCGAATAGCTTGTTTTTCAGCTTTAATTTGATTTTTTTATGTCCTCTTTACGTCCATTTATCGCTGAAATATTTGACTTTCCATGAAAAAGAAATTTTTTGTTTTTGATCATTGATATTTCAGCAACCAATGACCGCATAGACAACGTAAGAACAGTTTCAAAAACTGAAATAAATTTTCTGCAAGAAATTTTTACGAGTTTTTGAAAAAAAATATTGCTTGCAACATTGATTTAAAGAAAAGAGAAAAGAACTTTTTTTGTTGTAGTAAATCTACCGCGTATTCACGAATATTGATAGTGTCATTACGTTTTTTTATAGCCTAATGTACGACCAATAGCTCTAAACTGTTTTCTCGGACCGATTTTCAGTCTTACAAAAAAATTAAAGAAGTTAATTGTTTCTGAACATTGTGTACTCTTCATCAAAATGAAAAAAGCATTTTTTTTCACCTTTTTCCACAATTTTGCATGTTAAATTTGAAAAAAGATCTTCGAAAAAATTAAAAAAAAAAATTGAAAATGTAAAATATCAAAAACCAATACTGACCATTTATTTAGCTTTTGCATACCGTACTTTTACTCAAATTAATCTCGAAAAGTTGATACCCCTCAAGCTGTGTTCAGCACTAGATTTACGAACATTCATGCAACTTTTCAAAAAGTAATTTTTTTTAAATTGATTTTTTTTTCAAATTTAACACTAGTGTATTATTTTTTAAAACTCAACAACTTGAATCATTTTGCAACTTTGTACTATTTTCATTAAATTTTTATTGCATATGTTATTTATTGATTTTCTTCTTTTGTACTTTACAAAAAATTATATTATTTTTAAATTTTCTAAATATTAAATACAATAAATTCAACAAACACAGGAAAGAAGAAATCCTTTTTTCTCAAGTCTTTTGTTTTTGTTCTCAAGTCCTGCAAATTATATCAATTTTTTGTTTATGCACCAATTGAAAATAAGAAAAGTCGGCGCCCATCAATATAACTGTAAGCTAAAGTGGGTAAAACATTTAGGAACAATAATTTTTACATTAGAATTACGCACTATATTACACAACGGAGATCTTGTTTCTAACTAGAATACTAAAACGTATATACAAAGAAATTGTTTAAGGAAAAACAATTGTAAAACATGGGACCTTCAAGCAAAATACATGAATTCTCTTTGGTACAGTACAATAACAGTTAGACGTCTATTGCTGAGTGCAAACACTCAATAATAATACTCAAGAAATTATTTACATTTAGCTACAAGCGCCGGCGAATACTGAAGTTGACTAGCTGACCCCCCGCACCCCTAGTGTATCAAAATCGGACTCCTCGTCTTGGTCAAATTCTTCTGTCTCTTGTACCTCTCGATGTCCACGTGGGTGAAAACCGGCCTCCGACTGGTCATTTTGGGCCTCGTGGTCTCCTCGTGGCAAAGACTGTCGATCTTCCAGTTTTGGGCCACTTTCACGCCCAATTTCTCGCATTCGCGGGCATAGGCCATCAGACTATCACAGTAGCATCTCCCAGTGGGGCACTTGCACATGTCCATCTTGCACGTCTTGTAGTACTTGAAGTAGTTCAGTTTGGACTCGCATTCGCCGAAAAACTCCGACTTGTTGAGATACTTGCAGCGATTCTTCTGGTTCTTCTGGTGGTTGGTGCAAACCGACATCCGGGCCAGCTGTCTGCTGCTCCTATGCGAGGACATGCAGGAGGCCCGCGAGCCGGCGCACCAGGCGGCCCCGAAGGCCAACACCTCGCTGTCTTTGAAGACGTGGCCTTTCCGCGTTTTGAACTCGTCTTGGACGTTGCCGTTGAAGTTACCGCAAAGGCCGGAGAGTTTGTTCTTGAAGACGGCGGGGACGGTCACCTCGAGGAAGCTTTTGCCGTTCCAGAAGATTTTCACGCCGTTTTGGAAGGTCACTTCGACGTTTCCGTTGCGCTTCTCGATGCTCACTTTGCCCTCTTTCTTGTAAGGGAGGGTTAGTTTCTTGCGGTTGAGCTTGACGCGGCCTTTTTGTTGGAGGTTGAAGCGGAAGTCTTCGTAGCGGATTGCCACGCGTTTTGTTATGATTGCGTTCTTGAAGGTTTTGTTGAAGAAGTCGTTGGCGACGCGGATTGAGAAGCTCTGGGTTTTCGTGTCGGAGACCAGGAGGTATTTGCCGATGCCCTGGAAGGTGTAGATCTTGCCGTCGAAGGTTTTGTAGTGGGGGTCGCCGAACACCATGCACACGCCCTCAACTGAAATAAAATAATAAAGAATTAAAATTAAGTAGTAAAATGCACACAAGAAACAATCGTTTTACATTCCAAATTTAAAAAATTAGTCTCATAAAAAATTAAATTTAATCAAATTCTTAGGTGTAATAGTTATTTATTCGACGAGTTTGAGTGTAAATCGGACTCTTTATTTGACCGAGTGGATTTTTAAACCACGAGTGTAACGAGTGGTTTACCATCCACGAGGTGGAATAAAGCGTCCGATTTACACTCAAACGAGTGGAATACAACATTTTATTCTTCGAATTAGAGTCAACAAGGTTTAAACTTGCTTTAAATCTGTTAAAAATAATTTGAAGTTTTGTATTGAGAAATGCCAAACAGTTGTCAAAACTTCCTTACAAGGGAGAAAAACCGTAAATTTTGACAGTGTCGAAGAATAAAAGTTATTTTAGTGAGAGTTGGGGATTTCTAACAAAATTTTGATATATTGCTTTTTGTAAAAAAAATATGTTGTGTTAAGAGTGAGAGTGTTTTATACAGAAGTACAGAAGTAAAATTGTTATTGAAGTATCTAAAAATTGGTTTTATCTTAAAAAGTAGGTATTATAAAAAAAACGTTTTTGATGATTTTTAAAACCACCACTTCCAATAATTAATTAGAGATAAAATCCACTTAGAGTGGCTACAGTTTGGAGTATTTTAGACCTTATTTTTAGAAATTTTTATTAGATTTCAAACTTTTTTAGCGGTTTTACAAAAACAATAATTTTATGTGTCCAATTTTTAGTATGATTCATCATTTTCCACGATTTTTTTTTGGGATGTCAAATGAGATTTTATTTAAAATTCAAATTATTATTCATTTTTTGTTGCATTTAAATATTTTTTCCTGTGCTTAATTAACTTGCTCTAGATAGAATTTTTTACAAAACAGCTCGAAAACTACTCAAAAATATAAAATACTATGTTATCTTTATTAAAAATTTATAATAAAAAAATTAAAATAATAGTTATTTATTCGACGAGTTTGAGTGTAAATCGGACGCTTTATTTAACCGAGTGGATTTTTAAACCACGATTGTAACGAGTTGAATACAACATTTTATTCTTCGAATTAGACTCAACAAAGCTTAAGCTTGCTTTAAATCTGTTAAAAATAATTTGACGTTTCGTATTGAGAAATGCCAAACAGTTGTCAAAACTTCCTCACACAGGAGAAAAACCGTAAATTTTGACAGTGTCAAAGAATAAAATAATTTACTTAACCTAAAATTTTTAAATGTTCTTTTAGTGATTATATTTTTTGTATTTTCTTGTATTTCCAAGTGCTCAAATTATTTAAAAATTTAAGTACTATCATGTAATATTTATTTTCAATACAAAAACTTTTTTATTGTTGTTAATTTTTAGTTCAAAATTACAACTATTTTGAAGTGTTTACAAATAGAGTGTTTCAATATACCTACAGGATAAGCAAAATTATAAAACCAAATGTTTTTTGCTTATTTACTATCTAAAATAGAAAACTTGTTGAACGATAAAGTATGTAGGTACTAAAGAATGATCGTTTTTGTATTTTTGAGTTCAATAATTTTTTTTACTGTTTTAAATAACTATTACCTATAATATTTTTTTCGACAATTGATTTAAGAACTACAATCAAAAAAAAATTTTACGAAAAAATTCCTGGTAATATGCCATTTGAAAGACAAAATGCAAACAAAACAAAAATAAAGTAGCAAATATTTTATTTTCAATAAAACGATCACATTTTTTTTATTTCTTCTAACAGCAAATAATTTAACAAAAACAAACATTTTGCCCCCCCTGTATGTATTTTTAAATATTTTTTTGATGATTTGTAATGAATTTGAATGAACATGTTAAGATTTCAAAAATCCAGAAAGTGATTGATTTATAAAAAAATTATCATTTAAATTAAATAATAAAGTTTTATGCTCTGTGTATTTGTTTTTAAAAAAGTTGAAAAAAGTGCTTTTTTGGTAATTTTAGTGATTTGTTCACATGCTGTTCCTGGGTAATACAAAATATTTTTAGTTTCGAAACATGAAAAAATTCCCTAAAGTTTCATTGAAACCTTTGTTAGTGAGTTTTAAATATTTTTTTCTATTTCGGTGCTATAATAAGCATTTTGTGTAAATGAAAATAGTTGCACAAAATGTAATTTTGTGACACTGTTTTCTGGCGACATTTTGTGCAATATTTTGGTCATCACTGGCCATAGACTGTTGCTTTTAAGGGAGAAATTGTTGCAATTCCACGTATTTTACCGAAACTAATGCAATTTGAAAACCGCATACGTCAAATGTCAAAAATTTTAACTGTCAAATATAATAATAAATTAAATTTAAAAAGTGCTCAATAGAAAGAATAGCATTAAAAATGTGTGTTACAACCTCTCATTTTGATAGTCGTAAGGTTTTGGCCACATAAATCTCGTACAACTTCATTTTGACATCACGTCAAATTTTTCCAACAATGTTTGTTGTACAACAAACTTTGATATAAAAAACATGAACTTGCGTAAATCAAAAGATCAAATTTTATTGAGATTTTTCTCTAAAAGAAATTCTGGTCAAGCCTCTCCCTTGTTTTCGGATTATGGTTCCTTTATTTTGCCACCGTTTCTTCATGTTCATTACAGAAGCTTTATTTATGTGCAATTCTTCTGCTGTTTTTCTAATTTTGCTGTAATTCGTTTTTTATCAGCTTGCGAAAGTTTTCTTGTCATACTGACTGTTATAAATTATTTTCTCAAAAATAATTAATAAACTTCACTTTGACAAATTAAAGTATAAATTACAACAAAACAAAAATTGAAATTACATTTTGTACGAGATTTATGTGGCCAAAACTGTACATTTGTAACACAATGAGAGTGTTTGTAACATTTGTTTTTTAATATACTATTTGGCCCAAAACCAAAAAACGCTTGTTTCCGTAACTTTTGGTCCGCCTGTACATAATTTCAAACATATTTTGCTTATTTTTAATAAATTTCATATCTCTGGCAATCATTTGTGATGGTTTATGGTTTTATCTAAAACTTTTAAAGTGTCAAAAATGCAGAAAATTTATAAAACAATATTTTTTTAGGATGTCTAAAAATTGAATTGTTTTAGTACGATTTGGTTATTTTTTTTTTTTGGTAACTCTGGTCATTTGCACATTTTCTGTCGTTTTGACGTATTTTTTTTAATAATATTCACTCATTTATTGCTAGCAACAATGCCTCCACTCGCTACGCTCGTCCCTCAACCCCTCACCTTCAACACACTTATCGCAGCACTCCCCCGGCAGATGCACCAACTTGGTCCCCGGAGCACACGGCAGCGTGACATTGCACCTCGTCATGGCACAACTCGGCCTTCCTCTGTGACACTTACACGACCTACAAGCATCAAGTTTCCACGACTGGCCATCCTACCTAGCAAATAATAATTTAAAACTTATCCGTCACACCCCTCACCAACTTGCCTCATAATAGTGATCCCCAAAGCGGCACTCCATCCTCACCTCTTGCGGGATGATGCATTGCTTGCAGCAGCTTCCGGGGACCGACTTCTGCAGATCCGGTGCGCAGTCTAACACCGGACATGCTGCGCGTTGACAGATCGAAGTCTCGTTGATGCAAGTGCAGTTTGTGCATTTGTCGATGTTGAACTTGTGGTCCTCCCAGATGAAAGAGGTTTGCACTCTGCAGCTCTTCGGGACGTTCATGAGGACGCGGGTGCCGCGGCAGACGGGACAACACTCGCCAGGGGGGTACACCTGGCTTGTGGGGGAGCATTGGAGGACAGGACAGGCTTTCTTCGCACATGTCATTCGGCCCTTGTGGCAGCGACACTTCAAACAGGGGTCGTCCGAGATCACGTCGCGGTCGTCGGTGGCCTCCTGGCCGTTTATCTTACATTCTAATAAAAAATTATCACAAAGTTATACAACTATACAGCGTGTTCCAAAAATAATATACAATACAAATTTATGAAATTAGTGTCTTTTTTAACGAAACACCATACGTTATTGAATGTAGCTTTTTATTGCAATGTTTTTGACGCAGTTTTTGATACAAGTTGTTTTTTTTTTAATTTAATATACAAAAACTAAAACTTTACTACTGTAAAGAAGAAAGTACAAATTTTAAGGATGTAAGAGTTTTCTTACTGTATTGTGTTTGAAAAAATAAAAAATTGTTAAAGTTGGTTAAAAGTTAAATAAAACACCCAATTATTTGTATTTACATCTAATAGATTGTTAAATTGTCTACCTACAAACATAAACTTTTAAAAGAATGATTTTTTTAAAAGAATGAATGAAATGTGATTCGTAAGTGATATTTCTTTAATCTCTTATGCAACTTTTCACTATTTGGCTATACTGAAATAATAGTTAAATTTTTTTTTCTATAGCAAATGTTAAACTATTTCCTTATCAACTCTTTTAAGTAGATAAAGTAGCACTTTAACCGCAAGGGTAAATAAAATATTTTAACTTATTTTATCCATTTAAATTTACAAATTTTATCACACACGAGGTGGAATAAAGCGTCCGATTTACACTCAAACGAGTTGAATACAACATTTTATTCTTCAAATTAAAGTCAACAAGGCTTAAACTTGCTTTAAATCTGTTAAAAATAGTCTAACGTTTCGTCTTAAAAAATGCTAAAAATTGTAATTTTTTTTGAAATCCTATTTTTTCTCTTAAACTTTAAGTCCTGCTATAGAAAAAAAAAACGATAAAGATTGTTTATCTACTCGTGAAATAAGTCCACTCGTTTGTAAACTTAACTTTTTCACTCATAGATAAACAATCTCTTTATCGTCTTGTAGATATAATAAATAACTTTTAATGTTTAATGTTAAATATGTTTTTAGTTATCAATTGTAGACACTTAAAACTAAATGTTTTTGGAAAGATAATTTAATACAAAAACAAAATAAATAGAGGTGTTCCTTTTCAATTTAGTAAGTTATTGGATTAGCTTGTGAAAAACTGCTTCCTTTTTTATATTAAAAAAATTCTAGCTGTCTTAATTTTTGTGTAATATTTTTTTAAAGAAAGAGATGTTTATGGCAAAAAGAGTAACTTATTTCAAAAACTACGCAAAATCAATAAAAGTTTAACTTAGAAACAACGTACCTAATAAAAAGCTACATCCAAATGTGCCAAAAAAATTATAGTTTCATTAAAAAAAAAAAACAAAGCTCATATTGTAACTTATTTTTAGAACACAATGTATAGTTGAAAATAATATCAGGTGATGCACTAGATTAGCATTAATTTCCTATATTCATTTTTTTAAATTTTAACATTTAAAGGTCAACTCACTTTACCAGCCCTGTATGTAGCAAAAAAATTAAATTAAATTCGACTCTCCCAACGAAAATTATAGTAACTCAAAAATTACAGTTTCGAGAAAAATTGCATTGAATCTTTGAGTATTAATAAAAAATCAAGAAACTGTTTAATATTATTGAAAACTGTAAACAAAATAACATCAATTTCAATTAATTTTTGGTATTTTTAGATGTGTTTTGCTAAGTAAAAAATCTGAACATAGCGAAACAAACTAAAATAATATTAATTTTGAACTGATTTAGTATTTTTTCAGCAGTTTCAGCAACATCTATCAAATCAATTCATCTCAAAATTGCTCAAACATTCGAAAAAAAAACAAAAATAACACCAATTTTGACCCAATTTGGTAAATTTATGGGTCGTCTTAACCAAAATTTTGCAAAATATTGCGTTTCCATCTAAGTCACGCGCTAAACCGATCGAAAAATACAAAAATAATATTACAATCTACTTAATTTAGTGATTTTTCGGTTTGTTTTAGAAAAATCTCACAAAAAAATTAGAATTTTTGAGCAAAACGTGCTTGAAAGACTGAAAAAAGTAAAAATAGCATTATTTTTGACCAAATTTTGTAGGTTTTCGGCTTTTTTAAGTAAATTTTTCTTAAAAATTTTTAGATTTTTAGATGTGTTTTTGCAAAATAAATAAACTAAACAGAGTAATAAAACTAAAATAATATTAATTCCGACTTCTTCAGTGAGTTTTAACAAAATTTTTCGAAAAAAATTGTTCTTATCCCACAAACTTGCTTAAGACAAAAATACCATTTTTGACCTAATTATTACTGAGGGTCTAAATTTTGGTGATAACATTATTTATTCAAAAACATTTTTCTCATTGTTTTTGTATTTTGGGCCCTACATGAGCCATCACTCAAAAAACAATTTTTATGAGTTACTATAGTTTTCGTTAGGAGAGTCAAACTGAAGAATAAAAAAGTTTATTAAAAATTAAAAAATCAAAATTTAATTTTTAATTTTTTGTTGAACTAAGTGATTTTCTGTTAAATCATTTGCCTCCAGGAAATAATAATTAATATAAATTAAAGTAGTACAAAAAATGTGATCACGAAGTTTTGTTTCGTTTTTGAGTTTTGACTTTTTTGTCAAAATTACAATTTATGTACATTTTTTTTTTGAAAAAAAAATAAATAAATCTAAGGTAGGTAGTAAGTTAGATAGTAAGGTAGATAGTAAGTTAGATCATAACTTTCATGAGAAAAATGGTTTTATAGTAGGTTGCCATTGCCAAAACTCAAAAACAAAACAAAAATTCGAAAAATTTTATTCTTTATAAAACATCACATTTTTATATTACTTTATCATTCATCAMTTAKTTTYKTSWAAAAATAAATAGTTTWAGCAAAAAACKTTTRGTTCCATAYTTTTTATTCACCTGGTATAGTAGTCGTTATTACGAATAATTTATAAAAATATTTACAAAATTGAAAATTATTGAAAAATTATGAAAAAATAATTTTCCAAATCTCTTTGTGTAAAAAATAAAAATGTAGTACTTACAAAATTTTAAATAATTTTCTGACTATTTTGCAAACTAACACATTATATGTATTTACCCAAACATTATTCCGTGTGATATAAAAAATAAAAAATAGAAATAAATAAATAAATAAAAATAAATACCAATAAAAGTATTAACTATTTCGTGATGGTATTAATAAAAAAAATTATAGGTGAACGATGTATTAAAATTTTTTAATTTCAAAAGAGTTGAAATTACTTCATTTCAAAAAATTAATAAACCCCTCACTCACTCCTCACGGAGTGTCGTCACAAATGATCAAGTTCTTTGAATCGTTGAAAAGACTTTAATTGGTTATTCACCGAACAAGTCTCTTAACAACTTCGTTAGGTACAGGGAGATTTGGTTTAAACTCAAACTCGAACACAGAACAAAACCATTTCGTAATTGGTAACAACAAATTGGTATAAAAAATGATTGTGTTGACTCCTCCCGAGTTGCAACAAACCGTTCGTTAGCGAGCAGTCAACTCTATAGCCTCATTACCCGGACAAGTCCTGCAGCATTTTCCGGGCTCCGGTGGCAAAGGATTAACACAAGGGGTGTAGCATTGCAAATCCGATACTGTGATAATCCCGGCTTCGCACCGCAGGACTTTGCAAGGGTTATCAGGATCAGTCCATTCCGTGTGACTTGAGTGATGTACTTGGTTGTAGATACATCCTGAAAATATTTACAGTTTCAGCAAGTTTGAGCAAATTGGGGAGTTTCGAGCACCTTTGCACTTGCGGCAACATCCATCCTCGGTTTTCTCAACCAACATGTGGCAGCCCTCGGTTGGAGGGCAATATTCGCGTTTACACTCCACGAGGCCGTTCTGAAAATAAAACAAGCGTCAAAATAAAGACATTGTCATTCATTATTTAGCTTTTTTTAAGTTAAAATTCCCAGTTTTTGCTCAAATTTGAAGCCTTTCTTGATCATTTTGGAAACAATCGAAAAATGAAAAAACATGATTTTTACCTTACTTTGCTAAACTTACAATGAATTTTCAACGAAATCTTGCAAAATAATTGCTTTTCTGACTGAAAAACGTGCTAAAATGATTGCAAACAATTTAATTTTCGACCTAATTTTTTGATTTTGCTGTTTGTTTCAGATTTCAGATTAAAAACCCACTCAAAAGATTGCAAAACAAAAAAATAACAATACTCTTAATCATATTTTGTGGTTTTTTTTGGCTTATTATAACACAATAACATCAATTTCGAAAAAATTTTGTAATTTTTAACCGTATTTAAAAAAAATGCAAAATATAAAGATCTCTGGTTCAAAAACGAACTGAATAGAGCAAAACAAACTAAAATAACATTAACTTTGATCTGATTGATTTAAGAATTTTTCAGCAGTTTTAGCAAAATCTTTCAAAAAAAATTGTTTTCATCTAAAAAAAAAGTGCTTAACGCTCGAAAAAGACAAAAGTAACACCCTTTTTAAGTCCATTTTGTAAATTTGCGAGTCGTTTTAATCAATTCTTTTAATAATTGCGTTTCTGACTAAACAACACACTTAAACGCTTCAAAAATATCAAAATTAAATAATTTTCGACTTAATTTAGTGGTTTCTCGGTTTGTTTTAACAAAAACTCGCAAAAAAAATATGACTTTAGAGCAAAAACGTGTTTAAAAAATTAAAAAAAGAAAAATAATAAATAAAAATAATTTTGTTCAAAAGACAGTTAAAGCAAATAAAACAAGCAAAATAACACCAATTGTGCTTTTTTTGTAATTTTTTAAGCATGTTTTGGAAGATAAACGAACTGAACAGAGCGAAACTAACTAAAATAATATTAAATTTGATCTAATTTAGTAATTTTTCAGCAGTTTCAGCAAAATCTATAGAAAATATTCATTCAATTCAACTTAAAATTGCTGAAACATTTAAAACAAAACCAAAATAACACCATCTTTGACCCACTGTGATAAACTTATAAATTTAAGCTCCCAAAAATAACATTACACAAATTATCCTTATAAATAAAATTCTAGCATACTTCGTTTATTATGAAATTTTGTAAAATATTGCGTTTCCAGCTGAACAACGCGTTAAAACAAACAAAAAACACAAAAATGATATTACAATCGACTTAATTTAGTAATTTTTCGATTTGTTTTAGCAAAATCTCACAAAAAACCTAAAA